AATAGAACTTTATTGATCCCTTTGGTGAAAACCTCAGGGAAATTGCTGCACCAGCAACAACATCAACACAACCTCAACAATAGTAACAACAACAACAATAGTAGTAGTAATAATAACAATAGTAATAATAATAATAATAATAATAATAATAATAACAAACAAACAAATAAAAAACAGCCACAAATAGTTCAAACTGTTTGAAAAGAGACACATAAGCTACTAAAAAAATACCAAAGTGATGACAAAGAGACACAAAATTGCTATTTAGAAACACGTAGCAGCTACAAAGACACACAAACTGACTACAGAGCGACACAAAGCTATTCCAAAGAAACACAATATATAGTCATAGAGAGACATAAAGTGACGACAAAAAGAAAGAAAGTGACTTAAAAGAGATTAAAAAGTAAATCTAAAAAGACACAAAGTGATAATAAACGGACAAAAAATGATTATAAAGAATATATAAAGAAGAAATAGACTACAAAGAGACAAAAAGTTACTATAAATTGACACAAAGTGACTATGGAGAGCATAAACATGACTACAAACAGACAGAAACTGATCACAAAAACCAAAAAGTACTACAAAGAGACACAATGTGACAATGAAAAGACAAAAAATGACAACAAAGACACTAAAAGTGAGTATGAAGTGACAAAAAGTGGCTAAAAATAGGCATAATGTGACTACAAAGAGACAAACAGTGACTACAACAAGGCATAAAATGACTACAGATACACAAAATGGCTACAAAGAGACATAAAATGCTTATGAAGAGAGAAAATTTCAGTCTTGGGGTCTTGTTCCTCTGCAGGATGAGGCCTCTTGTTTCCCAATCCTTCCACGTTCTATGGTGTCCTAGAAGGTTTTCAGGTATTATTTTTCATGCCAGACGTCGATGATGGTTAAAGATGCAGAGATGGATCACCAACTTGTTTGTACAGTAAAAGCTGGATATTGTGCAATCCAGCCACAGAAAGACAACAGTTGGAGGAAAGACCCCCTCGCAGCTCGCTGTAAATTGGAACCAGGAGATGTCGGTGAATACAGCCTCTGTGCTTTTGTTAGGAGAACACACGCTCAGTCCTTCGCTGCGGATGAGACGCTCCGGCTGGTTGTGTAATCGGCCTCAGTGGGCTCAGAGCTGGCAGAGATCTGCAGCTGTCTGGCTGCAGTTTCACTTCCACTTCATGAGAATGCAGCACAAACCAGCATGGGGGTAACTTCCAGGAGGCAACCCCACCCCCCACCCCCCCTCCACGCTTTATTTACTTTATTCTTCACTTTCACCCAACCAGGGAGCTTTCAGAAAGCTGTCGGCAGCAAAATAAGACACAAACAGAAAACAAATGCACATGCTATAGCAAGTGATTTGCAGCATAAAAACTTGAATGTAATAAGGCTGGTTGAGTTCTAGAGGTCGGTCCAAGAGGATACTGCTGAAACATGAACAAGATGTGGGGTAAAATCATCTCTAATGAGGCAATATATCCTGTTATTTACTGACTGTGTACATGTATGTCACAGAGAGACAATGGCTGGAGCTCTGTGGCTTAAACCCGAACAATGGTAGTTGTGTCTGATTCACACAGTAAACTAAAATGTTGCATCACATCAGTCAAAGAAATAAAATAATGACCGACCTGGAGATGATGAGGAGACGACGGAGGATTTGTCGAGTGTTGTAGACCGAAGCACAAACAGTAGGGTTACCACTGGCGCTGTTTAAAGCTCAACTTTGTATTTGTAACACACCCATTACTAGAAGCATGTTCAAGACTTGGGACTTAACTTCGAAGTCAAGACTTAAAACTAAACCTGAGCCTTCAGTGTCATGGTTTGAGACTTACCTTGAGACTACAGACACAAGACGTGGTACGCAATTTAGGACTTAGAAGTCAAAATTTGTGATTTACCTTTAGCGCCAAGAGTTAGGCCTTAACTGGTGACTTCCTATTCAAAACTTAGGATTTATCTTGGGACGTTAGAGTCCATTCTTGTCACCTGATTTTGGAACTTTATAGGCAAGAATTGGAACATACTTAACCCTATTTGGGACTTCTGGGCTCTTCTGGACCCCAGGCCATTTGGTTTAGGTGACAGGTATTGTTTTTATTTTTTGAGGATTTATATATATACATAAAGAGGGACATTTTTCATGCATTTGGAACCAAAAATACATCAACTTGTCAGAAAATGTATTTAACATAGTATAAAAGTCTATCATGAATACCAACAAATATTTTGCACATATTCTTTCTTGGGGTCCAGTGGACCCCAAAAGACCATCTACATATGGCAACATGAAAGTCCTTAATAGGGTTATGACTTACCTTGAGCCTTTAGTGTCAAGACTTGGGACTTAACTTGAGACTTTAGTGTCAAGACTTGGGACTTTATAGTCAAGACTTGGGACTTTATAGTCAAGACTTGGGACTTTATAGTCAAGACTTGGGACTTAACTTGAGCCTTTAATGCCAAGATTTGGGACTTGGGACTTCATATTAAGACCTGGGACTTTATAGTTAAGACTTGGGACATATCACTTTAGAGTCAAACTTAAGACTTACCTTGCATACAGTAGAATAGAATAGAATATAACTTTATTGATCCCTTTGGTGCAAACCTCAAGGAAATTGTTGAGTTTGGGATTTTATATTAAATTTGGGACTTTATATTAAGACTTGTCACTTTAAAGTCAAGACTTAAGACTTAACCTGAGTCTTCCATTTCAAAACCTGGAACTAAACTTCAGACTTTAGAGAGAAAACTTGGGACGTAATTTCAGACGTTATAGTCAAGATTTAAGACATAATTTGGGACTTTATACTCGGATCTTGGCACTTAACTTGGGACTTTGACGCAACACTCTGGAGCAAGTATGTAATTTGTAAAAGTATCAAAAGATACGTAGTAGAAAGTTCTCTGCCAGCTCATCGTTAAAGGTCAGCTCAGCTCTGACAGTGTCAGTATTTTCTCATGTTCTGAAGCAGAGTTTTGTCTGCGACCGGATTTCCAAGAAGCCTTTTGCATCATCAACGATGTAAGACCTTTCTTCAGGCTCTCCGGGGGAACAGACACACTTACACACAGAAACACTTCAAACACAGGGATCTCCGCTGTCGCCTGGAAAACAAAAAGCTTCATCTTCACTTTAAAAAAAAATAAAATGCTGTGAGCTTTTGAAAGAACGCCAAGAAAAACTGATCTGAGACTTTGTGTGAGAGTCCAAGAGCTGCAGACGCCCCCTCTTCAGCTGCTGACGCATCCTATTCAGTGTTATAATGAAGTCAGGGTGTTGACAGAGTTATTGATCAGCCACAGAGGCTCAACTGTTGTCCCCCCTGCTGTGGAAACTGTAAACAGACCTCCATATTATCACATTATTCCCTCACATCCATGAGGAAAATTCATCATGCAGCTCTGAGACACCCTAAAGAGAGTAAGATGTGTTTGTTGTTTCCACTGTAATCAGGCTTTAATGCAGAACACAACATGAAAACCACAGTTTGGTAGTTCTGAGGGAAAATACACAGAAATGATGAACACAGTAAGAAAATTACAAGAAATTTCAAGTTCAGAAGTGTCAGAGCAGAGAAATAACTTGGCAAACATAACATCTGGAACAAAACCTACAGTTGAATCCAAAAGTTTTTGGACAGTGACACACTTTTAATAATTTATCCTCAGTAGACTACTTCAGTGGATTTGAAATGAGGCAATCAATACAGTTTTTCAGCTTTAATTCAATTAGTTCAACTAAAATATTGCATTAACTGTTTAGGTACAGTCTTTACTTTCACAGGCTCAAAAGTCATTGTCACCAACTATGGAGTTATTTTCCTATCAGATTGAGAACACTATTTCTTTGGTTTACATTCAGAATTTTTAACGCTTTCCTGCATTAACCCTGTCCTCACTCTTTCCAACAGCCCAATCAACACAAATCTAAAACTGTTTCTCTACATTTACAATTACTGTTGCTGCTTAATTATCTTCTGCTTCAATGCAGTTTTTTTTCCCCTTCCCTGCCTTTCTGCTCAGATTTAGATTCCTGCCCTCAGATCTTTGTGAAAAAATCCTGTAGAAATTCTCTGACCAATGAGATGCCAGTCAGCCAATGAAACTGTCGGTCTCCCCTCAGTGTATGTACTTTAATTGCTTTCTTGTAGTCGTACAATTAATGCATGCTTAATCCCACCTACTTAATAAGTTATTAAGGTGAAATGAACAAAGTTTTTTCATTTTTGTGACCAAGTCTTTCGTATTAAAAAGTATTCTGATTGTGTATGTTTTATTTTGCATTACTGTGACATGCGATAACATAACATTTAGAAAATATCAAATATCACCAGTTGACTTCCGGATGATTATTCTTCTGCTACAATGTGCTCGTAGATGGCATTTTATCATTATGACTTAAAAAATTTTTTTTTTATATTTTGCTCACCCATGATCAGAAATTATTCGGTCAAATTGTCCAATATTGCTGAATTACTGACATGAAGAACAGCAACAATGAAGACTTCTGGCTTATTTCTTTAATAGTTCCTAAGATGTTGTTCAAACATAGCCTCAAATGTTTAAATCCAAAAAAGCACGGCAAAAATGTGTAGATGGGTAATTAAAAAAAAAAAAACAACCTCAAAGTATTTAATGTATCAAGCTGAAGTTACAAAGTTACATCTATGAATATCACATTTTATGCTATAAAAAGTTTTGTCAGAGTTGGTTGAGCAGAAACTGTTTTAAAAGTCTGATTTGAAATAGAATGACCCAGTAGCTCTACTGTGGGATTGGACCACACAGGCCAGCCTTCGCTCAATGAGTCTGGGTGCCTATGACCCTATTATTGGTTCTCTGGATCCTGTCCACATATTTTGGAAACTTTCAGACACACCATAGATCAATCTTAGCTAAACTATTGGACATTTTAAATAAGCAAGTGGTGAAACCAAAAAACAAGAGTAAATTCTCTCAGCAGCCTCGAGGAGTTTTGAGTTTAGATGGTTTATTATGGCATTTACCACAATTATATCTGTCACACTGTGTACTGCAGCACCATTGGTCCATTTTACTGGATGTCAAGTTAACATATTCCTTAAGTTTAGGATTCAGTCATTGCAGTACTTTATGATAATACAGTTCACATAATTATGCATTACATTTTGAATGTTCTGCTGGGAAGTCTGGCAGGTCGACAGACTATGTGATTATAATGCCTAGTAAGTGCAATAAATACAGTTTTCTTTTCCAGATTACAAATATTATAGTCTTGTTCAGTTAAAATTAAAAGCATCTGAAAAAATAACTTACCACTGCATAGATGTTTTCACACTCTATACGATCTATTTCAAAGAGCAACCTAGACGAAGACGTTCAATGGATTCAAAGGTCAAGAGAGTTGATTATACAGTGAGTAGTTTTATTTCTTGATTTTAAAATGACATCATGAATGCAAATGTCCTGTTACAGCCAGCAGCACTGCACAAGAAAACTATTGTATGTTGATATATGTAACAAAACAGTCCAACTTTTTTTTGCCTGCACAGAGTTACTGTCAGTCTAAACTGCAGAACAGCAGTACAACCGCAAAAGGTTCTCTGCAAAGATGTAAAAACTGAACTTATTATCAACCACAAACGAGTAAAACCTCCTTTTGAATCAGGTTTTTAAAATGCTGGTGTGTAACCATGGTGACCAGGGTACTTGACTACTCGGTGGCGTTCAGCATCTGACAAGGAACTTTTTGTGAGTAAAACAAGTTTCTGTTCCCAGATGAAAGTTCCTGCAGTGGAAACATACCTAAAGGCTAAAACATGCATCTGAACGCTCCAAACAGATAGAAAGAGGATTTTAGAGGTTTGTGTTATTAAATCACATGTGCAATGGCAAAAAGGTGACAAATCCACAACTGAATATGCTGACGTTGGCTGATGCATGGCTCCACAGCAGCAGCGGTCTCGTGCAGTTGAAGGTGAACCAGGCCGAGCCCACGTGATCAGGACCAGGTCTCGCTCTGAAATCGGCCCGTCCTCTCCATGGCCACCAGCATCTGCTCAGCCTCCTCTGCGGACACGCCTCCCTCCTGCTGGAACACCTCTTTCAGAGCGTCACACACGCTGGCTGGCATCTGTTTAGCATTGCTGCATGGAAACACAAAGGTCGACAGGGTTTGTTCGCAGCTGTGTGGTGTGACACCTCCTTAGGGGCTTCATAATGAATATAAGCACACCAACTAACATAAAAAGCTTTGTGCTATCGTGCATTAAAATGCTACAGTAACTGTAACTCAGCAGTGCAGGGTCTCACACCCACCTTGCGAAAAAATGCTGCAGTGTGAATCACAGCATGCATGCAAAGCACATAGGTGAACAAAGACATGTAGTGTTTCAATAACTTTTCTCATCCTGCATACATACACGTACACACCCCTTGGTGATATGATGTAGGAATGGATGGGATCTCAAACTAGAACAATGATTTGAATATGGAAGAAGTTAAGTAGAAGTTTCTGTGCCTTACCCAGCGATGTAAAAACAGGCACTTTTTTTGGCAACCAGGTCCCACAGGAGCTCCGCACTCTCCCTCACACGGTGCTGTACGTACACCTTTTCCTCCTGAACAAACACACATGCAGCTAGTTTCATTTCTAAACACTAAGCTGCAGCCACAGCCAGAGCACTGGTTAGAGCAGGCAGTCATGTGGAGTCACTGCTGAAGGTCAGTGTTAGTACTGACTCATGGGATTTGTAGGGAACATCAAAGAGATTGTTGCCACTGTGGCAGCCTGACTGGGTTTGTCTCAACTTTTCTGAGTGAGTCATTGTGAAGACATTAAAAATGTACCTACAGACCTCGATACACATGATACCACTCAAAATGTCAATGAATAAAAGTTCCGTCTAACAATCTACAGACACTGGTGGCAGCACTGTAACCACACAACAGTCAAGTGTCATTTTGTTCTGTCATCGCGTTAGGAATTACTGCTAATTACCAACAGCTAATTTGCTGTCAGCGAGGGCTGAACACATAATCAAAATGTTATTGAATTGCAATATGGTCAAGTGCAATATCCAAATCCCAGGAGCTGCAATTTTTTGTTGATAGTAAAATGTGTAACAAAATATTGTGTAAATGAAGCACTGTGGTGCTACTGAGATACCCCAGCGTATAAATCATATTCCCCGGGCATGAAGGAACGTGCTTGTTGGGTGCAGACAGAAATAAAAATCCCTTTTACATTTTTTTTAAGCAGAAACAAAATCAACAATATGACTCTTCTCCCTACAATTGTAAGTCATATCAACTGCAATATGGATGTAAGATAATCGCAATATGATTTTTTAATATATCATTTAGCCCGACAGTCTGTAGCATTCGTGGTCATTTTTATAAGCCAGGAGAGGAACAGGCAGTGCCGGCTAAAAATGACTAAAAACTGCTTTGGTATCGTTGAGACAAAACAATGCATTCTGTCAACCCAGGACTCAATCACAGATGCAACATATTGGGTTTAATTTACACAAGCATATGCAGTAAAATGTTCAGAATACAAAGCCCAGTGGTGGTAGCACACATTTAGTGGATCTCCCAACATTTACTTAATTGATTATTCATTTCGCCCAACAATGTTGTTGAAACAAAGTGGAAGTATTGCTTTAATAAATGAATAATTAGTATTTTTTACTTCTATAGTTTAACATGATCTGGCTTTGGATTTTGCTAGTGTAGCATCAATAAAACAGAGACATCAATGCATGCTGGGAGGGCATGAATGGGATTCAGGCTGCAGATGAACAACTAGTGAATGGACTGTGATCAAACTGTCAATTTGTCCAGTAAGTTGGTTTTTCAGTGGTTTTGTACAATGAACATGACAGCTGCACTCGTTTTGTGTTTTCATTTCTCATTTAATTGCACTAAAGTTTATGTTATTAGTCCCATGACAGCATAGTGTTTGCGTATTGCGTATCTGTGGTAGGGTTTCTGTCCTTTGCTGTGATTGCTAACATGGAGTCAGACGGCGTTTCTGACCTGGTCTCGAGAGAAGGCAGTGAAAAGGACCAGATGTCCAGCCTTCATCATCTCCTCCCACTCTGACTTGAAGTAGAAGTCTTTGGATTCAGAGCGACAGCCAAAGAACAAGACGTTGGCTGAAGAGCAGAGAGACGAGGAAGTTCTCAACACAAGTCTGATGTCAGAACAGTGATTTGACATGAAGGGAAGGAACTCATTCAGAGAACAAAGGAGACAAAGATCTCACCAGTTTTTCCCTCTGCTATCCTCTCTTGTAACGCCGTCCTAAAGGGTGCCACTCCTGTTCCAGGTCCAACCATAATCACTGGGGTGTCCTTCTCTTTAGGGAACTTTAGAGTTCCCTTCTTCACCCACAGAGGCACATACACCTCTCCTGCAAAACAGTTTAGTAAAACACTTTTACTTTTATTCCTTCATACTTGCATAATATTGTGAATTTCCCTGGAGAGGAATCAATAAAGTTGGTATTTTGGAAAAACTTCACTACTGCTTTGTAACATGGATACTTTATAAATAACAAACAAGTACTGAGTTATTAAGACCAAAGCTGTGTTTGAAATCATTCCCAGGAGAAGATGTGGTTCAATACCTTGTGCAGGGTCCAAAGAGGCTAGCCAAGTGGAGCAGAGGCCTCTTCGTGGTTTATACATCTTGGTTTTGTACTGGACCACAGCTACCAGGATCTGAAGCCTGTTCGGATGAGCCTGTGCAAGAAGGGATGTTTTATAATAATCTTTGTATTATATGACTTTTTTAAAGAGCAGTTAAATAGCTGTTATGAAGGATGAGCTACCTGGAGAGAGGAGGCAATGGAAAACGAGCGAGGCTGGATCTCAGGGAAAAGATCAAGGAGATAGTCCGCTTTAAGTTCTGCTGTGGTATGGGGGAAATCTGCCAAGACCTGCAGCAGCCAGAGAACAACACACTTAATAAGTAGATGACAAGACAGGTTCATATATTTAAAGCCTCAATGTGTAGGATTTGTCTGACTCCTCCTTGGACTAACAAACTACACACAGATGGACGGCGCCTGGCTACCACATAATTGCAATGTCCACAGTTTAACTCCAGATCTTTACATTTTAGATCCATATTGCAGTTGTTACATGTCATTCCCTTTCCTTTCCCCCTTTTCTGGTTTTATATCCAATTCTATTATCAATAAAGTCATAAATACCTCCAAAAAAAAGAAATTCTAAAGAAAAAAAAAACCTCTAAGAAAATCTTTGCTGAAATTCAGAGACAAGAATCATAAACAAGCTTATAGGTGGAAGCTGTGATTATGACTATATCGTGTTTTCTTGCAGCCCTGGCCCGAGCCGTCACCTCCAGTGCTGTGCGTCGGGGCCGGTTGCAGTAGCTGTGCAGCTCGTCCTGTCCTGCCGCTGAGCTGAATTCGGCCAGCTTCTCCCGCTCCAGCTCGTTGGTGGCGAAAGTAGACAGCAGCTCGAAGAAGGAGCGGCGAGGCACAGCGGCCATGTCCAGGAAGCTCTCCACCAGGTGGCGCACAGTGCAGGGCTGAGGAAGCCTGGCTGGAACTGGGGGTTGAATGAATGAATGAATGAATGAATGAATGAATGAATGAATGGAATATTTTTATTTTGGACATGTGAGAAAAACAAAAAAGCCACAAAAACAAATCAAAATATTTTAAACATCAACAAAACAAACATTTTTCAAGTTTTGTCAAGAGATATTTTTCTCAGGAGTTGGTAGAGACCAAACCAGAGCTAAAAAAGAAAGAAGAAAAAAAAAAGGGTTAAATCATCAGCTGGAGGCAAATGTAACTCCAAACAAAGGTTAGTTTGGGCTAAAATTCGAATCATGTTGCTTACAAATCTTTCAGGGCACAACATTACAGCATATTAAACCAACCCACTGTAGCTTCTAATACAGTAACACTGAGCAAACTCAAATGAGTCAGCTCACTAATCACACATTTACAACCACATTCGTATGCACTGGGACTTTTTCTGAAACTGAGCTACAACACTCACTTGGACAGAGACTGTTTTCGTTTTAAATGCCACTTTATAATAAAACCGTATCAGTGTGAATATAGCCTAAAGGTGCAACTGGATGTATTTTGGACATTTAGAGAGCATATCATAGCTTTGGCATTGTCATGCGCTGGCCCTGCTGTTAAATGTTCTCATGCATAAATGCCACATAGAATGATTCCTCCTCCTTACCAGCCTCAGGTTTATCTACACCTGCACAGCTGCTGCCATCAAAACTCTCCAATGTCAAAGAAAGGACACCCAGGTGCTGCAGCATCATGCTACTGTGACAATACGCTAAACAGACACACTTCTCTATCATCAGGCTCATGTCATTTCACTAATTTCAGCCTCCTCAACTCCTCTGTGCTCCGACCTGTTACCTAGAAATCTAAGTCTTTGTGTTCCATCACAAAGAACAGTTTAAATAATGACATGCAGCTCAAGGACAGAGGTTCGAGGATCGAGGAGACTGTTCGAGGAACTGTAAAAGAAGATGCACAGGTGTATCTTCACTATCTCCTCAATGAAGCTGTTTCTGCACCCATGACATAAAAGAGGTGACACCCAGTTGGAATATACAAACCATGATGGAAGCAGAAGTTACAAATGTGTGTCATTATGTACGTCACTCTGTATTTGTATTGAACTCTTTTGAGTGCTATGACTCACATGTGTGCATTAAAGACAATAAAAATGTATTAAATCTGTACCTTCTCTTCACCTTCTGCCACGCTGTGAATTAAATTATAAGTAAATATACTCTGTAAATTATCATGAACACTGTACTGCTCATCTGACAGGGATTAGTGGAAGATTATATTAAAACAATGTACAGATGAGGCAGTTGTGCCACATGTCATATTTAATTGACGTTGTCTTAAACTGATGGCTCTGAGACAAGGATCCCTAATTTTGTTAAAAATCTGTTGCTTCAACTTCTTTCTCCTCGCTTCCTCCGCTTAAATCTCTGGTTGGAGGGACTAAGACATGAGGAGAGGAGGTGAGGAAAGGAATGAAGGATGTACCATTGGAGGAATGAGATACTGGGTTCAGTGAGAGAACACTGCCATCATCAGGTCAGGCTTGAAAATACAACATTTCTTATGCTTTCAGTCAATTTTAACATTTTGACTCCAGTTAATTGTAAAAACACATAATTAGAGGTATACCAAGGAGCTGAGATGATAATTGAAAAACAGGGTGTCAGCGAGTCCTGGGTCACTAATGATCTGAGGAATGCATTTAGGATTAGTGTCTTTACGGTGCAGAAATATCCTCAATGCAATGGTTTAAAACAAATATTTGCCCACACAAACATGGAAAGACACACACATGTACCTGCAGTGTTGTTTGTGGGCCTGAGAGTGAACTGGGCGTCTGGATCTAACCTCAGCAGCTGACAGAATTGCTCCACATCCTCCAGTGAGTTACAAGGATACATCACAACGACATCACCTGCAGCAAACCTGCACAACAACATCACAGCTCATGACGGCTCAAGTCAAAGAAGGCTTTTTTGTGTTCAAACGATGACAAAATATTAAAAAATTAGTCTCTGCATTTTTAGAATGAAAAGTCTTGCACCTGAAAAACACCAAAACACGCTGCACGCTTGATTCCATTTAGTGCTCCGACAGTGTTAGAGCTGTAATCAGAGCTGGCTTGTTTGAGGGCTTTCAAAAGTCTGTAACATGAAGTTTAAAATTATGACATAATAGATTGTATGCAGAATATTATTCAGCAGGTTGAGTACGACATGCAATGTCTGTCTCTCTACATGATTCATTAAAGGGGCTCGGGTGCTCATTCAGACAGAAGGCTGATGTGTTAAATTAAAGTCAGATCATATCCACAGCTGGAGGAGCTCAATATTACTTACTCAATGTTGGATCCAGTGATGTCAAACTCGATGTGTCTGACATCCTGGAAGTGTGAAAGCTCTGTCACTCTCTTATTGGACACCAATCTGGCAGGAAAGGGATGGGACTGGGAGGGGACAGGTTGTTCCATAGGAATCCTGATCCTGTTATCTGTCTTCTCTTTCACATCATCCAGGAAGTGGAAAGCGTACGTTGGAGGGAGTCTGCCACAAAATGCACAAGTAACACACAAAGATGATCAGGAGTTAATTACAGCCTTTTAAAGGACACAAGCATAACAAACCTTCAATCAAAATTAGCAACCACAGAATGAGATGTTGTGTTGAGTTTAGTGGACACTCACGGTTCATCCTCTCTCAGTGGGGTTGCTTCAGCTAAAGATGGGTGCAGAGCGAACACTTTCTCCCAAAGCGACGTAAGCCATGGATCAATCACAGCGTCTGACCTGTGTCAAACAGACCGAGGTAAGAAGACAAACACAACAAACCACAGTCAACTACTTCAAATCTGAACAGTAATATTTGTTGCATAACATTCCAGTTCTCCTACCTCATGTACTTTCCCGTTCTCCTGTGTTTATAAAGTGATAAATCTACTATGACGCACATCTCTATATCGCAAATTCCATCAGTAGAACAACAGTTATGTCAAACTCACAACTCTGATGCCTTCCTTTTGAGATATTGGTTACCTTAAAAATTTTGTAACATTTATTTTTTTATTTTTTTTATTTTAGCGATTGGAGCTGATAAGTGACTGAAGGCAGCAAAGTGGTGAGTATGACATGAATGTTGTTTTTCTCCCCAGAATTTGAAAAGAGGCTGCTGTTATTTGAAAAATGTCAGTAGGTTTTTGATAGAAAATAGACAGAAATATTTTTTTTATCTGATTCAGTGATTCACTTGATGTTTCTAAATTGTCCATAGGTGTGAATGTGAGTGTGCTTGGTTGTCTGTCTCTAAGTGTGGCCCTGCAATAGACTGGCGACCTGTGCAGTGTGTCCCCTGCCTTCGCCCTAAGATAGCTGGGATAGCCCCCAGCCCCGCAGCCCCTGTTTGCAGCTAATGAATTCTGATGATAACGACTCTACTCTCGTCAGACTTTTTGTTTCTTACCCCAGGTCATGCTGGTCATCTGCCAGCCCTACAGGCAGCAGCACACTGGCACCCAGCTGCAGAAGGCGCTTATGAAGCTTCTTGGCCACAAAATTGAACCTAAAGCATAAAACAGTTGATACATTCACAAAAAGAATTTCGAATGTACGTTGTTTAATCTGTAATTGTGGAAAGGACTGACTTTGGATAGGAGGAGTCCCCCAGGCCCAGAACTGCACAGTCCAGTCGACCCAGAGAGCCAGCAGGTAAAGACTTCCTGAAGAGAAACCTCCAGAAGTTCTTTGAGGAAAGTACACATTGAAAGAAAGAACATGTCATCCATATATACATGCATGGGTTTTCTAATAACAATGCCTATGGCTGTATTTGAATCTTTTCTTCCTCTTCATAAACACCTGGCTGGCTAGCGTGTTAGCTCACTTGCTACTCTAGTTTATGAACTAGTCCTGTACAAAATTACTGTTCTTCAGTTTAAGGATTATTAATTGTGACAAAAGCTACCATCATTGAACAATGTGCATTAACATCAACAACAAAAAGTGCACATCTTTGCACCACACAAACTAGTATATTAAGGGACACGTCACACAAAACCAATAAGTAACTGCTTTGTTCTGTTATCTGACTTTTGTGACATGTTTGTCTGGTCTGTTACCTTCATATTATCTGGAGGGTCTCCTTGGCCAGTGGTGGCACACACAAAGACAACCAGAGATTCTGAGATCAGGTTGGCCTGTTTAATGAGAGGAAACATGTCAGTGCACCGTGTGGTTATGTGGTTCACGTTAGGGGCGAGGGCAGTCTTTCACCGCTGCCGGGACCTCAGTTCAATCCCTGGATCTGATTCAGCCCCTCTCCCTCCTATACCTCAGGGGTTTTTAAAACAAAATTTGCCCACAAATCTCTGTCTTTTCCATTACTATTCAGTGAATTATTGTCACTGACATGCAGCTCAGCTAAATAGTCAATCTGACATCCAGAATGCAACCAAAATGCATCTCAGGATCAACTCTGGTACCAGAACACTGAAGACAGGCAGCATTGTGATGTGTAATAATATCAACATTGTCTTTTAATTATCTTAGAATTCTCATTATAATCAGGATCTCAGTACAATCAGTCCTGTGACCTTAAAGAGGATAAAGCAGTGTATAGTATATATACAGTACAGACCAAAATTTTGGACACACCTTCTCATTCAATGAGTTTCCTTTCTTTTCATGACTATTGACATTGTAGATTCAGTCAGAGAGAGGGCTGGTCCTTCTCCGTCATCTGTCAGGCCAGCTATCACCTTCAAGGCAGCAGACACACGGAGGACCCTAGCCAGGGTCAACCCACAAAAAACAACAGGACCAGACAACATCCCGGGACGTGTGCTCAGAGTCTGCGCTGACGAGCTGGCAGATGTGCTGACTGACATTTTCAACATCTCCCTCAGTCAGGCCATTGTCCCCAGATGCTTCAAAACATCCACCATAGTTCCAATGTTAAAGAAATCAGTTACAGCCTGTCTGAATGATTATCACCCCATTGCACTGACATCAATTGTGATGAAGTGTTTTGAACGGCTCGACAAACCACACATCACAGCCAGCCTTCCTGCATCACTTGACCCCCTTCAGTTCGCTTACTGTCCCAACCGCTCCACAGAGGATGCAATATCCACCACCTTGCAATCAGTCATCACCCACCTGGAAAATAAAGACACCTACGCTAGAATCCTGTACCTCAGCTCAGCGTTTGATACTATCATCCCCCAGAGACTAATAGAGAAACTCCTCCTACTCGGCCTGGATATCGCCACATGTCTCTGGGTCCTGGACTTTCTGACCAAAAGACCCCAGTCTGTCCGAGTCAAAAAGAACATCTCCAACTCCATCACGCTGAGCACTGGATCTCCTCAAGGCTGTGTACTCAGTCCACTGTTGTTTACACTACTATCACAGGACTGTGCAGCCACACATGAGGGGATCCAGATCATCAAGTTTGCTGATGATACCACAGCAGTGGGACTTATTCATGAAAACAAAGAATCAATGCACAGAGATGAAGTGAAACACCAAGAGGGTTGGTGCAGCAAGAACAATCTGCTGCTCAACGTGGACAAAACGAAGGAGATGATCATCAACTTCCGAAGGTCACGTCCTGAGCATGCTCCCCTCAGCATCAGCGGCTGCACAGTGGAGAGAGTTGAGAACATCAAGTTCCTCGGAGTGCAGATCTTGCAGGACCTGAGCTGGCATAAGAACACCACAGCAATCATCAAACAGTCCCAGCAGAGACTACATTTCCTGAGGAAGCTGAAACAAGCATCCTGGGGACTTTTTACAGAGGTGTATCGGAGAGCGTTCTGACATACTGCATCTCAACATGGTACTCCAGCTGCAGTATGTCAGACAGAAAAGCCCTGCAGAGGATAGTCAGAGGAGCTGAGAGGGTCATCACAGTTTCCTTCACCTGTGTCCAAGAACTTCTCCAGAGTCGCTGCAGGAGCAGGGCACTGAACATTGTCCGGGACTCCTCACACCCTCTCCACAAACTGTATGAACTGCTACCATCAGGCAAACGTTACTGGAGCATTAAAGGAAGAACCTCCAGACTGATCAACAGCTTCATTCCACAAGCTGTCAGAATGCTGATCCAGATATGCAAACACTTCTTTATTTAAATTGCTTTAACTTGTTGGATCCTGAAGAAGCACGCTCTCATCTTGCCTGTACTACTGTGTACGTGCAGCAAAATGACAATAAACTTGATTTGATTTGATATATGCCTTTTCATTTAAAGTAACATAATGTGGCAATTTTTTAAAATAGCATGTCAGATGTGTAAAACTGACTATAAATACACTGGGGAGTTGGTAGCGACTGATTGAGAGAACAGTTCAGAAATCCACACTGCCCTCTGCTGTGTGAAGAGTTTTGACAAACTGAACCAGCTGTAAAAACAAATAAAAAATAAAACACAGTAACTCCACACTCACCACATTGTAGCTATCTAAAGGCAGCACTTGAACTTGCATCCGCCTTCTCTGCGCCTGACGCATGATCCTCTGCGCCGTGTCCTGGGCCGTACCTGTCTGACTCCCATACAGGACGAGCAGAGCAGGGTTTGACATGATGACTGAAAGAAACACAGTCACAAAATGCACCATTATTTCAGAAGAACACAGACTTGGCACAGTAAATCAAAAGAATAACTAAACACCTTAGAGCCACAAAACAGAGACAGTTACTTCAGAAACTAAGAAAAATACAGTCAACAGCTCTCTTATGAATCTACTGAGATCAGTGGCAGACAATTTCTACAGGGTGGGCCAGGAGGAGCCCATTACTCACACTGGAATGCCACAGTTAGTTGTTTATTAATAATTTATTTTTTAACAGTCATCATGTTTTGGTCGTTTACTTGTATCATTTGCTTATGCATGCAAAACCGCCAGTAGTACATAAGAACTCATACACAGTATAATGAACATTTTTAGGTGACCCTCAATTGATTGAAATTTGTAATGGTTCCTAAAGTCTTTTAAATTATTAACAAAATTCTAAAAAAAAAAAAACAAAAAAAAAAACCTACACTCTAAATAACATTAGATAGATACCTGTAACACTCTTACATCATTGTTTCTGCGTAGGACATCCACCTAGTTGAGGCATCACACTGTGTCCATCCAGCCTTTAGTTTCTTTCTGATGGCTGAAGGTTCTGGATTAGTTTTGCATTATTCAGCAGTTTGTATCACTTTAACAAACTTAGCTAAACTTCCCTTTTGGGTTCGGCTAAAAGCACATTGGGTCACTGGTAGGGGGGCAGGACTGTGCTGCTTGCATCATTTTGATATATTTCCATTATTGTAAAACATCCACATCATTGTTACTGTGCTGCATATGGTCTCTTCGCCGTGTGATGGAATACACTTTTATTTCAGACAGCGTAGTGTCTGGTTTCAATCGGCTCAGCTATAGCGCATAACTGTTATTTTACTGTGACATCTCTGTGTTTTGGTCAGAAATGTCTTTTTCTCAGGGCACAACGGCCTTGACGTTTGCCAGTACACATTTCATTAACTTGTACAGTAACTATTACAATCAAATTAACAAAATGTAATAGTCAAACTCCTGCATTCAGCTGTTCTGCTTAACCTACAACTTTAGCAACGTGAACTGTCGCTATCTGTCATGAACTATGTTAATGTGTGGCTAGCCGCTAGGAGGTTACCTAACTATGGGCAATTATTGTTGTTCGTATGAATTTTTCTCGTGTATGAATGACACATTTCAGCAAAACACAAGGTACCAGGCTACTTACCGCAGCTGTCTTCGTCAACAACAACTTTAAACGGTAATAAAACTGAGTAATATCTCCATTTAGTGACACTAACAGCTCCTCATTCTGACCACCAACGTTACGCTTTACGGCAGAAGCGACACGCGCTGTGATTGGTTCCTGCCCTGACGCGATGCATTCAAAGCCTCAGAAGAAAATCGAATATTACGAGTCTACGAGTGAAAAAATGCGTTCACGGACAAACAAATTTAAAAAAAGAATTTCTACATTTAAGGAGTACTGCAGAAAGCGAGTACTGCAACCCAATACGCACTTTCTGGATTTTAATTTAGTATTTTCATTATTGCAACTTCAAATCAAATCAAGTTTATTTTTGTTGCCCATTTTTAAACAACCTGAGTTGACCAACATGTCCATGTTACAGGTGCAAAAAGGTGTTTGGAAAAATCTTCAGTGGACAATTCTTCAGTAGAGTCCAAACTGCTCCAAATCAGCACACAGAGTCGACTCTTAAGTTAAAGCAATGTTTTACTTGCAGCAAGGAATCACATGCACTGTATGGAGTCTGAACAAGTGACATCAGAGTCAAGAAACATAACATTTACACAGGCATACAAAAGATGTCTCCTCTGCTAACACCTGCTGAGCACGCTCTTCATGCACCCAGGTATGCGGTGCGGGCTTGGTTACTTTTTTTCCAAGTTCTGTGCACTCTATTTTTCATGGCCTTCTGTACTTCATCAGTGGACAAAGAGTGCTGAATCATCACATATAACACTACATTTTTAGAACAAAAGACAAGTCGGAAATAGGAATAAACTTGAAATACATTTTTTTTTTAAATTATGAAAAACAAGGCAAAGAAGAACTTGTAAAATGAATTCCTAAATTAAATTTAAATAAAGCACTAAAATATTATATTATAGATATACTATAGAGGAAAGCTACAAAGGCACAATCTTCCCTCACCAGCTGGTCTTGATGATGGAACAGTTAGCAGCAGCTGTAGTGAGGATGTAAGAGGATTGGAGGAAGAGTAGAAAAGTTATAAATACCAACCCATGCACAACTTTATAAACAAATAAATTACCTTAAAGCTGATTCTGAATACAATGTATAGTTGGTGAAGACTTGCTGGTACAGGGGTGACTCCATTTTTGAGACAGAAAAGACTGGCCATTATCCAAGTAAAGAGGGTGACACTAAACTTTCCTTGAGGAAAGTAATGCAGTGGTTACAGTCTTAATGTCATTCAGACAGAGGATGAATATAAGTAGCAAATGTCGCTCAGCTGAAAG